TGCATATCGTCGAATAATATGATACATAGGCGGCAGGTGTGGGTATAACAAGATCGTGTTCAGAGTAGGCAAGGGTGAACTCTACTTGAGGTAGAAAAACATATGCATGTGAAATCATGACAAAATTTTCAATAAAAAATTTAAAAAAATTACTTATGCAACTAATTATTATTCTTTTATATATAGACCCACAAATTATGGTTAATATATAATAAACTTAATATATATTAACACATAAATTAGGAGTATCATTTATAAATTATATTTTAAAGTGTACCTATGCAGTATTCGTGTGGTGCATAAATTCTAAAAACCCTTCATAGTATAAATTTGTTTATTTGTTTGTAACATAATTATAAATATCTATACATTTTAATGTGTTTTTAACATATATCTGATAAGTATTTACTCATATGACGGAGAGTCGGGAAAAACCATAGATCATTTGTCCATTGACGCAAATAAGGGATTGGCTTAGGGATGTCTTAAACCCTCAATAAAATGATTGCCAAGAAATCTTGAATCAAGTTTTCATCAAGTAAGCACTAAACAAATATAATTTTTCTTCTAAAATTTTAAAATTGAACATAATAAACACTATTGAAAAAAAAATAGTTAAAATGTTATTTTTGTGGTAGACACTTAAATACGAACACTATTTTTTTTATGAGTAATGTAAACACGGGCTATTAGAATATTGTTGTTTCTTCCGAAAATACTATGGATGATACTATAACATGTAGACTGTATAATATTTTCGGTGAAACCCAAAAGTGCAAATCGTCTAGTTTTTCGATAGACCGAAATCGCAAAAATATATATTGTACTCGTTACACTATAAGTTTCATTTTTAAATTACTTATCATTAAATAAAATAATTAATTTCAATTAAATATAGGTATAGTATTTTTATAATTCAAAAATACACCAACAGTGATCGAGTTCTGTTAAAGCTTAGTATTATCATAACGTATTTTACCGTAACGAATTACAATGAAGGTTGATAATCATTTAAGATAAACTATATACAATATAAACTTATATCAATATTAACTTGATAGTTGATATACATTATAACTATATAGTCTATACAAATTACTAAATGACTTTTGAATTATTTTTAATTGAAATATGTTGGAAATCCTAATGAAATGTTTTAAATCGTTTATTATCAGATAAATACTAATAACTATATGGTTTTAATAAAATACACTTAATTTTTGTAAAATTTATTCGTGCTTATGGTTTTTTTAAAAATGATTTCAGCAGCAAATTGATTATTTTAATCTATTTGCTTAATATATATATATAATAAAGATATTAAATATAAATAATGTAAAAAATAATGTTTATTTGTTGGTCAATAACTCTAATTAGGGTAAAAGTGTGGGTCTATGTTCTGCGTTTTTTTAATCAATTTCATAGGGGGACTACAGGTGAACCCTCCAACAATGTGGCTTATTTATACCTCTAATACTATGATTTTAAATGTTGAAAATAGCTATAATAAACATTTGTCAGAACTACAGATGACAGTCAGTTATGACTATTATGAGCTTCGACGCTGTAAATGCTGACAATTTAATATACTTACTAATCTAAGTAACTTGCAGCAATGAATGCCTTTTAACTGCTTATATTTTGTCATACTTTGTCTTAACTAGCAATTCGTTTAAAAATTGCGATAAAAATTTTTCAAAAGCAACAAGTGATTTAAATTTTTGGCTGGATCGATCAACTTTGACGTGATACAAAGATCGATCGTCACGCGATAATATGATGACAATATAATATATATATATATATATATATATATATAGGTACCTAACTGCAATCCAGCTCGCGAGTCATCTCATTTCACATAAACGCCTTTTTTCGATTTACTAAAATATTATTGTTATTATAATCTAATTTTGTATTTATTATGATAATATTATATTTAACGTTAATAAGTGTCTATACATTTAATTGTGGCGTATTCTGTATTGTTGTACATATCTGATTTTTCTTAGAATTCATAATGTTGCAAAGATCTAAAAGAGATTGTTTTTTCGCGTTGTTTCGATACTTAACAGTTAACAATATGTACCTATACTTATATTATCGTTACCTAACTAGCATACTTCAATTTATCATGGGTGGATGGTTATTATACAGAGAACATTCATCGTTACGGACATTACGGTGAAAAATTATTTCAGTTTATTAATATTTATAGGAATAAAAATTCCCAAACGTTCAATTGTTGATTTCATGATTTAAATTTTATTACGTCCATAAAAATATCACTCTTCTAATAATAATTAATATAGCATAATGTAAAAATATTAAGTATATTGGACAAATTAAATGAATCCATTTAAATGTACATTTATATCTCTAATTTACGTATAAATATGTTTAATATTAAATTGTATTATTTTATTGAATACATATAATCATATAGACAGTGGGCATTACATATTATTAACTATATTTACAAATTTTAAAATGTATAATAGTATCACAATTTATTAGTTATTACTTATTAGTATTGTAAGATGCATCTAGAAATTAGCAACAATAATAACGTGAGTAACTATCAATGACAAAAATTTCACTTCTCGAAATAATATTACGAAAAAAATACATTATTTAAATAAAATATGCAGGAATACTCGCAGGATGGCTTTTTAAATAATAACTATTAGAATGTAAATAAATATAACTGATTACTTGTAAGCTAAAGGTTAAAGCAAACATAATATTTTTAAGCATGAGCGTCTCCAGGGGAGGCAAAACGGGGCACTTGCCCTCCCCCTATAATTTTAATTTGTTACCTAATTCTAATAGTTTAATATAATAATGATGAAAAACCATAATTAACTATAAATAAAATGTATAAAAAAATCTTCATTTATAAATTAATTCTTCCCCCCCCCCTCCCCTAGAAAAATGTCTGGAGACGCCCATGCTTCTAAGATATTTAAATAATAAAACACTAATAATTGATAAACATGACTAAAGTAAAGAAAGAATAATTTAGTTTTATAAAAATAAACACTATTATAAAATATATAATGTAGATTGAAATTAAAATATTTTTAAATTATAATGACAAGTCAAACATGAATTAAAATACTTTTTGTTATTTAGTAAAAAACTAAATTTAATAAACTCAATAATTTTTTATTGTATTATAGTCTTGATCAATAACTCATATTGAATTGTCTGAATTTGACACTAAAATTAAAGCACATCACAAAAACTATATTAAAAATAAATAAACTTTAATTTTTTTTAATAATAGGCATGTTGTGTTTATGTATTTAATGCATCTAGAAGAAAATTACAGTATTAATCACCTGATTAATATAAGTAGTATATGCTATAAACGTGATAATAAGTTTATTAAATTAGTAAAAATCGGTATTTTTTACCATCTTAGGTCATATTTTACATGAACACAACTTATATGAGCTATGTTACGGATTTTAAAATAAAATTAAACATAATTAGTTTCCGGTTTTGTGTTGTCTCGTGATCAGTTGATAATAGTGTAAAATAATACACGCCGACACAACACGATCGAGATAAATAGAATGACCTAAATTCATAATGTTTATGTAGGTACAATATTATGTTTATCACAATAATTATTGTTTTCTAAATTATTCTTTTTATCACATTTTAATGTATGAGCTCATTTATACTACTTTTGTTGATGTTTTAAGTGACCGTAAGAATTTCGGATTTAAATAAATTTCTTGAAAAGATAATAACTATGAATAATTAATATACCTACTGTTCATTCATCTGCTATTTTTCGAATTGTTGTGAAGTATTTTCGGGAATTTTTAAATAATAGCTAGCTTTTAAGTAGTATGTAAATAAATATAGTTTATTAATTATAGCAAATATAATATTTAAAGATATATTATTTCGAATACTAAAACAATAAAATTTTAATACTTAATGATCACGAATATGCAGCTAAAGAAAAATGTAGTTGCATACGAATAAATAGGTACTATTATATAAGATATATGATTTAGATTAGTATTAAAATTAAAATATTTTAAAAGAAATAATGAAATTTAAAATATTAAACTACACTATATATGTTATAATTATATGTGTATAATAAATTTATTTTGATATAGTTGTAAACTGTAGTGCAATTTGAACTCAATCCGAAACTCAATACTTCATATCGAATTGTCTTGATTTGAGTTTTCGTAATTTATTATAATAGTTTTAACAACTAAATTATTTTATTTATTCAAAATTCAAACAGTACATTAGCTTAACCATTTGAAGTATTCAATTACTTTTTAAATACTATTTTTAAAGTAAATAATGTGTACTACTATATTCTGTGTATATTTTAAAATTATTTATGGTATCAATAAACATCGGGCCACTAAAAATATAAGTTTTTGAATAAAAATGATAAAATATTCAATTAAAATTATAAAAATATTTAGTGCGATTGTGTGTATTTTTACAGTAATATTTCGTTTTTTGTTTCTAAATTAAAGCTTAATATTTTGTTTGAATTATTCCAATACTTTTTTCAATATTATTTTTGAAAGTATTAATTATTCTTCAAAAACAATATATTTATATACCTATTTTTTGTCAAATACGATAAAAACAGTTTTCATTTTAAATATTTATACAAATAGTCAATAGAACATAGGTACATCGAAACGCATTATTAAAATGCAATACGATTAACTTTTTCATCCAATGAACACTAATGCGCATTTCAAAAGTATTCGAAATCGAAATACTTTTGCGTAGAATAGTATACAGAATACATTGGGAATGCGCTATTGTAATTTAAGTACTTATTTAGAGTACTTGAATATTGAATACTCTACAAACATGCAGTTGGTTATACCTACATATACCTATTTATTATTTATAACCTACCTATATATTTTAATATATGCATGTCATTGTATAAACAAACGCGGACTGACATTGTCGTTATGTTCGATCGGACGTGTTCGCAGATCCGTCAACTTCAATAAGGAGACTGGTGACTGTCACTTGAACGACGTGGACCAGTTCACTGTGTCCGGGCGCCCGCCAATCAGCAATCGGTCGGCCGACGTCGTAGACTACATGGAGTCAAACTGCGTGGTCGAGCAACCGAAGATGTGTGACTTCGCGGAGGTCGGTGGAAAGTTACTGAGGACGGTTGACGCCATCTACGAGAACGTACCCACTGCGGACCGGTGCAAGGAGATATGCCTGGCGTCCAAGGAGTTCCAATGCCGTTCATTTGACTACAACGAAACGGGTGTGAACGTTTGTCGTGTCTCACACCATAGCACGTCCAGCCTGTCGCAGCAGCAGCTGGACTACCGCCCTTACCTGACGGTGGCCGGTGCCACCACTTACCAGATGTCGTCGTGCTTCAGCGTGAAGATCGACTGCCGCGGCGCGGACATGGTCGCATCTGTACATACCAACCGGTTGTTCGACGGCAAAGTGTACGCCAAGAATCGGCCAAATTCTTGCGTCAATGACGTGAAGAGCACGATGGACTTTGAGCTCCGATTGGACTATCATAGCTCGAACTGTGACGTCCGACAGGACCAACCCGGCAAGTTTTTCACCGAAATCATTATCCAGGTAAGGATATTAATCGCGTATTATAATATGAGTCGACTACAGTCGGACGTTATGCCGCGAGGTGCAGATTTACCAATTATGCTTTTACCTCCCCCTCCTTCCCCACAAACACACACACACACACATACATACTATTTTTTCCTTTGATAATGTATTTATTTGAATTTGATTTTTGGAACTTTTAAGTAGGAAAACTTATGGACCATGTTTTGTATCATTTAGATTTGTTGTCCTACTATTTGATAAGTATCTTGTGGCGATACTAAATTTGTTTTCTAAAATAAGAATCATCCTTTTTATTGTAAAGTATTAAATAGTTATACAAATTTTGATTCGTTCAAATCGAAGTTCAAACGAGTATTTTTTATTAAATTAACTTAGTGTACTAAGAATAATAAATCTATTATAAATTATAATATGTCAGCGTCTATTTTTAAAAATATTTAATGAAATATTTATATTAAGTTAATAATTTATATATATATATATGTTTAACTTTGACTAATTTTTACGAAATTATCAATAATATTATAGTATTATATCATATAATATTTTTACAGACTTTTAACTTATAAGTCGACAATGATGTACCTATACCATATATTATAATAACATAAATAGGTTCATGGTATAATTAATAGTCTACAATTAGTCTAAATTGAAAACTTCACTATGCATAGGATATAATAATTTATTCAATGGCAAAATGTTTCGTGTATTTAGAATTAATATTTTTTGAATTTCATAAAAACAATTAAAATAGTAAATTTTAATATATTAATATACTAAAATTAAATATAGGTATCTAATTTTGTTGGATTTAAACTTAAAATGCTTATAAAAATAAATGAGGATCGGTTTTACAGATAAAAGCGTAAAACCAATTGCACGAGGACGGATGAGTGTCAGTAAAATAATGTCTCAAAGCACGACTATACGTAAAATATTTTTCGACAAAATCATTATAATAAACATTTCCATTGAAAACTGATTTTTCCAATAGAATTTCGTCATTTTTGACATAATCTATATTTTTTCGTGAATTTACCTGTTAGGTATTGGTAAAATTGTACACTGTAAATTTACGGAACTCGTATCACTAACTGATTCCATGTTAACGTCGTAGCACCACGATCAGATCGTTACGGGCCAGGACATCGGACTGTCAGTGCGGTGTTCGTACGACCTGCAAAATCGGAGCGTGGGCCAGGGCATTGAGCTGGCGATGGCACCGGCCGTTGAATCCGATGACGACGGGGCCGAGTCGGACGCGCCCGACAAAAACGGCGGCGGCGGTGGAGGTGGAATCGGAGGCAACGACGTAGAAGAAACGGCATTTGTAATCTCACCCACGGTGATGATGAGGATCACGAACCGGGCGGGCGGTGACATACACGCTGCGCAAGTGGGTGACCCGCTCAGCCTCCGGTTCCACATACTTGACGACCGTTCGCCGTATGAGATTTTCGTCCGGGAGCTGATCGCCCTGGACGGCGTGGACACCAGCGAAATACTGCTCATCGATGGCGACGGTTGTCCCACGGATCCGACCATCATGGGACCGATATCAGCCGTGGACGCGGCCGGTGGCGGTACCGTCAAGATACTGGAGGCGCCCTTCGACGCCTTTAAGTTCCCCACGTCCGACATCGTTCAGTTCAAAGCACTTGTCACGCCATGTTTGCCAAAGTGCGAGCCCATCAACTGCAACGTGGTGGGCCACAACGGCGCGGTCCGCCGGGCCGATTCCTTTGGAAGGTATATAATGATATGAATAATAATTAAGACTATAAAAAACATTAAAATATGCACTTTTATAGTGTTATTAATTAAAGTAAACACTTTTTTTTTTACCCATGAAATGATTAAGATATTTTCTAAGTACAATAGACAATAATAACTGAATTAATATAACATTGTCTATATTCTAAATATATAAATATAATTGTATATAAAACATTTTAAAGTTAGAAAACAAACAAAAAAAAAAAAAAAAAAAATGTTTTTTTTAAAGAAATACAATAATAACATTAAAAAAAAAACGCTCTTAACCAATTTATAATATATAAAACTTGAAAAATAATTAAAACAATCAAAATATGACTCACTATATTAAAATTTTTGAAATATGCAAAAATATTCGTAACATTTCTGATAGTAAATTTTATTGCAATTGGGGTGTCAAAAGTAAATATTTCTTAGTATTTTTCAAAAGAATATAGGAAAATAAAAAAGTGTAAAAGTAAGTAACGCTTTGCTGCACTAAGAAATTGAATGTCATTGGATTTATTGAATTTGAATTCAATAATAAATATAATTTCATAAAAAAAAACGTAAAAATGTACTTAGTGAGAACTTTCTGTCGACATATTACAATATTAATTGATTGCTATTATTTACTATAAAAATTTATTTTACAATTTATACGGTATACGTATCAACTATAAATGAGCAATAGTACATAGTTAAACTAAATGTATATTTTTAAAAAGTCATTTTGTATATAAAATATAATAATAAACGTAAAAAAAAATTTGAAATCGAGATCAAAATCAATATTTATAAAATATTGTTAAAAATATTCTAAAAAAATCAATTGTAATATCAGATTTGAAATTATTTTTAAAATTTTAAATCTTATAATATTGTTTGTCAAAATGTACTAACTCATACTTATAACTTATTAATATTTTGTTTACTTAGGCTTGTTTTATAGCCGCGTGAAATAACGGGCAAACGACGATTCCGCGCGTATGACTATAGCTTATAGATATAAATTAAAATTAAAATCGTTAAAATGTATAAGTTAAATTTAAAATTGAAAAACAAAATATTTTTAAATTTAATTAAATATTAGAAAACAATTAAATCAATAATGTACAACGTTATAAAAATTAAAAATTATAAAATCAATATATTATTGTAAATTGATATTAGTTTTTTCTTATGTAAAATTGAAATTAAAATAAAATATTTAATTTTAAAAATTTGCGAAAGTTTCAAATTTCTACAAAAAATATGTTTAAATCACAACAAAATGACTAAAATATATACTTATTTTGTTTGTATTTAATTTCTTATGAAGAACCTCGTATTAAATTTTTAAGCCTTAACTATAAAAATTGAACACCTAATAAACTTATAACTACAAAATATTTTGTAAATGTTCATGGTTTTAACTATTTTTTCAACATTTTAACTTCAAATGCTTATAAATAAAAATTAAAAACCATGTTTATCTTTATAATTTTTAAATGACTGCCTATAATAAAACTTATTAGGAATATTATACTAAAATTTCAAATAAAAAAAAAATTTTAAAAATGCATCAATATAATTTGTTTGAACAACAAATTTTTACGAAATTCTTGAAAATTCCAAATTATTTTGTAAACAAGTAGACATATCATTTTATCAGGTTAACAAACCGTCACCGCTTACAATCGCTTCTCTTTAGATCTAATGATTTATCACTAAAATCTTGAATACAAATGTTATATTACAGTGACCTACTCAATGAAAAATTCCCCTCCCACACGACTACTATATAGCTCAATGACTTACTCGGTATTAAACACTGTAATAAATATTTATAAAATAAAATATCATTATAAGAAGCCTTATTATTATTACTGTTTTTCCGGCCCATTTCGCAGCCCTATTCAATTTAATTTACTCTCATATATTTTCCAACGGATATTCCCAGGTGGGTTAGCTGCTCCAGATAGGTACTAGGTACTGTGTTGTACAAATGTGCAACAACATGCAATACAGTTATCAAATTCAATCTCACGTCGATATTTGAAGACGCCAATGCCGCCGTCGTTGTTTATTCAACCTAATTACACACAATGAGGTGATATTATTATAATATTGTATTCGACAAACGATCTCGAATAGCACGTACAATACCGTTGACAGTTTTTTGTATAATTTATTACTATAATAGTTTGATAAAATTACATAAATTTAGTATTTTACTATAAAGGCGTTATTTCATATCTGTCGTATTCACATAATCGTGTGAAACCGATATTGTCCGATTGGTCAAATTATGTCATCGACCAACTAATGTCTGATACCATAGATTACTGTCAAGTTGAAAATATATTTCAATTCGATCGACGTATGATTACAGCTTTACCAATAGTCCATATAAAACAATCGTAACCAATATAAAACATAATAAAAAAAAAACATTATGTTTATCAAGCCCTCGAGTTACCAAAATGATGAAATACGTTGTACGTACAATAATTCTAATATCTACAATGAAAAATATATGTAAATATACTCATTGTCTAGTCAATAATTGTTTTATTAAATTATTAGTAAATTAATTTAAAATTTGTTTTAATAACTCGTTAAACATGCACTTGTTAAGTCCTAGTACCTACAAGGCTGTTTCGTTATGGCGACAAGAGGGTAGATTGCCTACCAAATTTTTTATGTTTATATTAGAGTCGGCAGAATCATAATATCCAATAAACACTAAAATTAGTCGAATTAAAAGTAATATAAATTTAAAAACAGTTTAAAATTATAGGCAATTTTTAAATAATTTTATATTAATTTTTGAAATAGGTAATCCAATATCTTGAAAAAAATTAAAAATAATCGTTGTATTAAGAATTGTATTTACATAACTGCAATATTACTTTAATATTATCATATAAATGGTCAATATCTAATGGGTTTATTTTTATTTACATACTTTTAGTTTATTGCATAATACATGGCCCACAGCTCTAACTTATAGTCGACGCAATATTTTTTATCGTTCAAAATAAACACATAATTGATATTCTATTTGTGGTTAGTGTTTATTCATTATTTGGTATTTCTAAATGAAAACTGAAAAACTATCAGAAAATTTTACGTTCGAACACTATTTCATTTTTAATGCTTTTACTAGCTGTTTAAAAGGTTTAAGCCACCACCGAACAAGAAAAGCTTCAAATTGGTTAGGTTCAAATATAAACAATCAAACAGAATTTACAATGCAATTATTTTATAGGACAGAATTTAAAAATATTCTGGATATATTTTATAAATTTTATAAATTTAACCAAAGAAAATTTAAAAAATGCATGTAAACAATTCAACCACTTTTTGAAATATATAAACAGCCATTAATTATTTCAAATCTACCACTATAAAACTTACAAGTTACAAAATTCATTTTTGCTTTTTACTCTAAAAAGTGTTTAATAAAAATACCCGAGTTTAATGCTGTTCAATCGGACTGTGAAGTGTTTTTTAGACTGTGCAATAAAAAAAAAATCATACTCAATTAAATCTTTAAATTAATTTATACAGAAATCTAAATCAGCTAAATATATTTTATTTTTGTCAAATATACTTTGTCGTCTGGGTTGTACTGCACTAGTTACAATATCGTATGAAAAAACATATTTTAAAAAACTAAAATTATTTAAAAATTATTTCAAGATCTATTACAAGCGAGGAAAAATGATTAAATTCACTAATGGTTTTAAATGCAGAAAAGGACATCTTAAACAATTTAAACTTTTCACAGATTTTAGAGCAGCGGGTAATGTTAAAATAAAGTAAAATTAAAATATAATCTGTTTTTATTTATTTAATAGTATGTTACCTTTAAAATGTTGTATTGTTATTAATATTATTAACCGAATTACCAGCAAGAAGTGTCTCTTAATTATTATATCACGTGTTTATCTAAAAATAAAATTTATAATTAGCATATCAAATAAGTATCTACTGTTTTGATAACTCTAATAATATTGTGAATTTTTTTCTGTAAGAGGTAAAATTTAGACAATTTATAATCTCGTAATAGATGGCCAGGATTTGTGTTAGTCGTAATTTAAATACCTATAAGTTTTAGTAACTTCAAAATGTAAAGTTTAGTGGTTGAAATTTTTATATGTAGGTACACTATAGTTTAATATTTTTAAAATATAGTTTCTATAAGAGTTTTCTGTAGATGGTACATAGATATTGAATAATTTGTTTCGGTAACGGTCTGCGCATAAGATATAAACGGGATTAAATTTGATATTTTTATTTTTTAGTCAGTCTAATAAAACAGACCATCACAGCAGGTCGATAAATGTATAATAATATACTACATTCCATTTTAAGCCCTGATTTTTTCGCTGGATTTAAATCGATCCCGTTTTTTCTGCAGACGGCGCCGCAGGCGTAGTACCGATGGTGGCAACCAGACCGAAGAAGTGGTCTTCCAGGAGATCCGGATCGAGGACAAATTCAAATTCGAAGCCCAACTGGGTGAACCCGGTCACGAGATCAACTTTTCCGGCAGCAGTGGCACCGGCACCTCCACTACCTCCATAGGTAACCAGAACACATATTGGAACACGTACGCGTTCGCACTGGTGCTGGTCGCTTTTGTCGTGCTCCAGCTGTTCGTCATATTCGTGTGTTGGCTGTACGTCACGTATGGGTCGCGGAACAACAGCGAGGACGCCTCCATATACGAATCAGCCATCAGCGAGTACTCGTCCACCGTCCGGACGCCGATATCCTGGGACAACAATTATTATAAATAATTTTTGATCGTCGGGGGGATACCGAATTACCGATTATACGGTATAATACCATGCTGTATCATATTTTATACATAGGTAAAGTGTATACCGCCGCGATTGCCCGAGACATAGTGACGGACAGTCGAAATCCTAAAACTCATCCACATATAAGTTACACTATATTATTTTAACGTATCGATGTAAATTAAATTAAACTGCACCCGCGACCATTAACGATGTATTGGACGGTAGTATAGCCGGTAATTAAGTCGTATATGAGGAGGGAAAAGATCAACACCGTACGGAAACGGCATATATCGTGGTCTATATATTATACATTATATGCATTAGGTATATTACAATATATTGCTATATACTATATGAGGTGCCGTGGTTATCATATTTTGGAATTTTCTCGGTGGTTGATCTGATATGCATATATACCTGCACGCTATATTATATTATCATTATTGTAAGATTTATTTTTAAAATTATTTTATGGGCGTGATTGTTGTGTTTATGCACCCCTTGACTATGCAAGAGAAAAAAATTCTGAAAATTCGTGACTCCCTTTCGTCACTACAATATCTAATGTTTTTCATATTTTTCTAATTCAATGTTATAAATAAACATAAGATCATGTCTCACCAAGAGCAGTCGGTTTGCAAACCTACCTAGTATGGTAGAGCTCTAATTTTTACATTAATAATTTAGAGATAACTGCAACTGCATTTTTGTGGAATGCTCGTATGCTTTTTATTAAAATATTACTTTAACAAAAAGTTCCAATCATTTAAAAATATGAATGTATATATATATGAATTTATAAAATCAAATATGGTTTACGTAACAAAAATTCGATATGAAATGCATTCAAAAATGTATTTGCTTTTCATATAACAAGCGTTTTAGTTCTCTAAAATCTCAAAAAAGATAGTGATAGTCGAACTGCGTTAACTATTGTTCTGATAAACTCTCTATTAACTTTAAAATCACATAACAATCTCTAGATTTTTTTTTTAATTAATATTTAAATAAATCTTTATTTTCCTTAAAATTTTTCTTAAATTACCAATATTAAACTCCCTAAAGTACACCAACATAAGGACTTTGCAGTAATATTAGTTGCTTATGAAAACAACTTAGCCTCTAACTCCACTTCAAAAATCATAAAAAAAAATAAGAAGCTTTGAAATGCAATGTCTCTTTTAGTTTTTTTATTACAATAAAACAAAAATGTTTATGATTGCTTAAAAATTCTTTATTTTTACATTTTGGATCATTTAAACTTAGCAATTATTGTTGTTATTACGCAATGATGTTATTACAGCTGTCATATTATTAGATAGTTGTCATAATAATTTCAGAAAAATATATCTTCCGAGTTCTGTATTATTTATTTTTATTTGCTTTGTAAAACCATTGATATTGACTACCTCTACAATTATATTATATAACTATTTCTGACTAAATCGAACATTTACGTAAGTATGAGTACAAATAGTATATAAATAGTTCTTAATATTGCTGAGATGATATTTATAATAAATATTGGGTAGTTATTTACATGATAGATGTCTAAAATACTGTACTAAACACGTCTAATATATTGATTAGAAAATTGTTGAAACATTCGTTAACGATAAAACTGAGTTCAAGAAAATCACGTTTTATACTTTTTTACTTTTATAAAACTATAATATAACTATTTACTAATAAATTATAATTATATCTAACCTCTTTAAATCTATCTACACATCTTATGAAATAAATTCGCAAACAACAGTTAAACCTAATCTTCAAAATGTTAGATTTAGGCTTACTATATATTTATCATAACTACATAGACAATATTAAGTTAATTTATTGTTTTTTTTACTTAATAAAAAATGCACTTAAATCTTAAATGTATTCAATCTACATGTTTATAACAAACGTGAAGCGACTATCACTTATAAACTATTATAAATGAATATAACTAACGATAAAATTGTTTAATATAAGATATTTAAATACGCAAATACCTACATGTGTAACTAGACAATAAATTATTTATAAGAAAATATTTAATGAAAATCATCAAATCAACATTTTTATAAACTATACTAAGAAAATCCATAATGTATGGCTTACAAAAAGAATCAAGTAGGATTTTAAATTATTTTTTTATTGTTTTTAACTATTTATAATTATTGATTCTGTATTATGCAGGAAATATATTTTTTTGAAATATTTAAATTTTTGATTCAAGAAACAAATGTTAAATTTTTCATAGTTTTATGAAACTTAATATTATGGAACTCTGTTTTAACGAAGAAATGTCCTTATTGTCAAAATCAACTACTACTACATGTAATTTTAAGGTATACATGTATAATTTATTTATTTATTTTATTTATGTATTTAGAAAAATTATTGATGTTTATAGAATTGTAAAGTATTTATTCAAATAAGTTTATCTATATGATAATGAACTTTGTAAGGTTCGTGGTACTGAATTGGTCGAATTTTTAAGGGTGATAACTGATAATAATTAAATATAATGCTTCATTAATGAAAAATTTCCTTACATTGATTATCGATGTTTTTAAACTATAATTGAATTAATTTATCTATTTTTTGTTTTTGTATTTATCATAAAAAATTAAACGATTGTGTGTTAAAATATAAAGGAAAGGATGACATGAATTTTTTTTGATTTGTATAAATAAATTTATAAAACAAATACTTAGGCTTTTCAATATTATGTTGTTTGTATAATAAATAATAACAAAAAAATTTTATTATATTAAAAATACTATCGCTTTGTTATTTTTATGTATTTTAATACATACATTTTAATTATTTAAACTTAAAATAACCTTCGTCGCATAGTTTTGTAAATTAGCGTCAACATGATCATTTATGACCGTAAATATATTTTACAGAATTATTTACGTCCTACGTTTCTCTGTCTCACTCCACATTCAAAATATTACAATTTTTTTATGCAATTAACCCACGTTTGTAAAACTGTTCGGATGTGGTTCTTCGACGACTCTTTTTTACTACATATAAATCGTCCTCTATAGAAATTGGTAACTATACAATACACGCTGTGTTGATTTTAAGTATTAAAACTTATTTTTCAATACACTCTATACAGTTGTTTAGTGTGTTGCAATATTTTTTCCCCATCTCAGGTACATGTTACATACTAATAAATATAGAAATAATTAAATTAATCAAGTAACATTATTTAAATTGCCCGGTCTACTCTTAGATGTATTCGTATTATTAATTACTGTAAATACAAATACGATATGCGCGTCCTATAACAACTCTCTTAAACAAGAACGATGTACGTATGTTCTCAACAAAAGTTCAAACAAGAAAAGTAGTAAGGTTTTATTAAATAAAACGCTATTATGTGGTATTAAGCCAACTCGATATAGGTTTGACTAACGGTGTTATTATTACAAATGTTCAAGTATTAATGTTTGGTTTAGTAAATTATACTTAACTTAGACATTTTACTCATTTCGTACCTACCAATGATGTAGTCGTAATTTTTTTAGTGAGTATACGCTTAATTGTGCTTGACATGTAAACGTGAGAGGCAATACTACATTATTATTACTTTTATATTTATAATTACATGGATACATCATGTCACTTTCTTACTACCATGCCGCAACTAAGTCTCTATAGTCTACAATCATACTCCTAGAAATATATTACATATTTAAATTTTTTATGATTACCTAGATAATAAGTAATTAAGTAATATTCATTTTTAAAGTAATTTTAATCAAATAATAGATTTTTAAGTTTTAATTATATATGATAATAGTTAATAAAAACAAATACAGAATTAAAGAAAAGTATTAAAATACAAAATAAAATATATCTCATACTCTTTAAAATCACTACAAGTATGTTAAACTACTGTTAATTTGGTATATATTTAGGCACCTAACATGCTTAGCTTATTAAATAATAAGCAAATTAAAATTAAAAAGGCATATAAACATTATAAACAAATAAATAAATTATAAAATTTTCCACTAGCTTTTTCTTCATTTAATTTTATCCGTTCAACTTTTCAAGATCTGTTAGCATCTTATCAGTTACATATTATGAGTATAATACGTTTTCCCACAATGTATCTAAATAACTCTATGGTTATTAAGGTACTTACGCTGTGCAATAGATATAATGTCTAATTACAGTATTATACTGCCGTACATTATACTAAAAAATACTAGGGTGTAGCCCTAAGTGCAAAAACGCAAATAAATTTTACAAAAATAAAGTGTACTTTATAAGTTGGGTATAAGTTTATATTGTATGTATATATTGTGTAGTTATTTTAAATGATCTTACCTTCACTGTAATTCGTTACGATAATACGAAACTTATACTGAACTCGATCACTGTTGATGTATTTTTGAATTCTAAAAATACATATATTTAATTAAAATGAATAATTTAATTTAATAATTAATAATTTTAAAATGAAACTTATAATGGAACGGGTACAGTATTTATTTTTACGCTTTTGTCCCACTACTAATAACTAATAAGGTACAAAGTGCAAAATTAATTTGTGCTTTTGGTCGATCGAAAAAAATCGACGATTTGCGCTTTTGGGTTTCACCGAAATACTATGAATACCTTTAATATCATAGGAACTGTTTTGATTATAGCAACTGTCAAATCGATAAAGTTTGTTCGACATTTCATTTATTAATTAAAGATTGTTTGAAAAATAAATACATTCCCATACAGCGTATACCCGTTTTTCGTGTGTTATTCTATAAGTACACGCACTTATAGAAAAATAGAGAAGTAAATATACGCCACATACCCGCGTATACGCTCCACTACATCACTGTTTCGTACAACAATATGTTTTAATTATGTAATTTAAATTAAATGATAATCTTTGATTCCTAAGTATGTTTAACGTAACTTCACAATAGATGATCCATGCTTGAATTTCTTATGTATACCTTTATCACAAATTTTATAATCTGTTCTTTGATATTGAGTATAAAGATATAAGAATAATTTCTTGTGTAATAATTTATTTTTAAGGTTTAGTAGAAAGCCGATAAGCGATAAAAGGTAATAAACACTCACAAAATTTCGCTGTCGTGTGTCGTAATCGAATAATAAACAATAAAGATTAATGAGTATAGACTAAAGTAGGGTTTAATATTTGATAACAACTTCTAGCGAATTTATTGGAAATAAATACTACCTACTAGGTAGGTATTTGTCGTTAAACTGTCTAAAGTTCTAAACGCATCTTAGTTTTACTACGGTTGTGGATAACTTTTAAGATAATCATACCAAAGTTGAACGAGAATACTCAAATATGCCTATGTAAGTAAATTAGTTATCTTATTATTTAAGGTTTTAAGAATTACTGTATTCCTAAGTAGAATAAAAAATTAATGATTTTAATATAATATTAATGTAATAACTAAACTAATATTATATTACTTAAATTTACTTTATTAAATACAATCGTAAATAATTTAAAACATAAGAAAAATTTCAAAGCACAATTTTTATAGTCAATTTTAAAATTAATCATCCATTGAGTAAAATAATATATTACCTAACTGGTATTAAATTCGCTAAAATTTACTTATAGACTACACTTCAAATTACAATACCGATTGCAACACTGTTATTTATGATTTTCATTTAAAGTTACTTTAAGAAAAATAACTGTAAATTGTAATGTTAATATTTAATATTTATTAAATATATATCATATAATGCAATTAAACCTAGTTCGCAAAGTAGGAATCAACGAAACTATTTTAATGATAATATTTTATTTTTATTCTAAAACATTTTTCTATCCACTTACCTACTACAAGTACTACATAAAACACAAATAATATGTATAGTGTATAAATGTGTAAAATATACAATAGACACAAAAAATGTATGTTATCAGTGATATAACGTTAACGATTGGGGCGGTGGTAAACTCTCCCGATTTTTAAAAATAGTAAACTCTCCCGGGTTAATATTATGTTTACCTGAAGTAAATGTGTAAACTCTCCCGGGTCAACTTTATAGTTACCTGTAGGAAGTATGTAAGCTCTCCCGAGTTGTTTTAAATGTTATTGCTACACTACGAGTTATCTGTATGTATTCTTATTATCAATAACAATGATTTTAACATTTTTACGTATATTTTGTATTTGTAACTTATATTATTATTATTATTAACTATTTTTAAAAGAAACTTAAATGTATATTGGATTTTTTGAAATTTTATTTTTTTATTTTATTTTGACTATAATATCATGTTCATAGCAGCTAAAGACATTAATTTATATTATTATTATGTCAAAAATTAAATGATAAAATATTTAAACAATGAATATGTACCTTAGCTTGTAATCAATAAATTATTTAATTATTGAAACTTAAGCTTGATCAAATGATAATGGTAAACTAAAAATAATATTTTTTATTTAATATTATATTTTATATAGTTAACGTTGAATTTATTTAATTTAAAATTCTAGTAAAGAATGCTAGCTATAAAGCATAGTCATTATTTAAAATAAATTAAATATTAAATACTCAATATTTATAATTTTAAACATTGTAAAAATAGTTATATAAATATATTATAAATTAAAAATTAATTTTAATGCTTAACATTTTAAAAATATAAATGTTTTTAAAAATAAAAATAAATGTTGGTGACAATAAACAGTTTTAACTGATTATAACTTATAAGAAATATATGAACTTTATATAGACTTAAAAAAATATTGCCACAATATTTCGTGCTTATTTAAATAAGTTATAACTTATATAGAACTAAATTACCAATATAACTGTCTGACCGATTTATCAAGGTAATAAAGATCTGAATTCATTCTATAACAATTTTCATATTTTTGATTCACTATCAACTATAAAGGTAATCAAGATAGTGAATCCACTAGATTATTTTCAAACTTCAGGTTACCTAGGTATCTTAGATACCTACGTATTAAATCAGTCAGAAATTACGTTGATATTATACTTTATACATACATGTAAATATGTTGCATTTCGTTGTGTACTCGTTAGTTGTATAGTACCTATCGAGTATCGGCCATCACCGAGTGTAGTGCGCTTACTAAAACGATCGGTGTTTAAATTTAATTGATTGAGTATGAACAATTTTAATTTAAAATTTAATGAATTATTAATGAAAAAAAGGTTCAAAAAATATATAAGTACTTAAAGAAATTAAAGTATGACGATTTGAATGATTTGATATGATCGTTGTTCATATTTACAAAAATGCTAATGCAAAGCTGCAGAACGACTTTGTACATCAATAAGTCATGGTAGCAATCCCAGTGGCTGATTTACACACGGGGCAACATGGGGAAAATGCCCCAGGGCGCCAAATTTAAAAGGATGCCTAATGGACCATTGGGTTGACTCTATTTTCAAATGGAATTTTAAGTGTAGATTGTAGTCTGTAGCTGATGTAAAAAATGTGTGAAATTTAACGTTGGCTGATAGACGTTAACAAAATAATTGATAAAAATATAATCAAAAGGTAGTATGTGTACATGTGTAGATACAGCATGAATCACATACTTACGGCATTGGAAAATAAATATATTTGTGTGTATATTAAAAAGAAAAATGTGGTATCTATAACGACTGAAAATACACTCGAAATGCAAAGTAGACAAATTTTGTTATATCATTTCTATTATTGTTATTAAAAGAATATTACTTATGATTGTAATTTTTTCACTATTTAAAAAGTTTATACTATATTGATATAAAAAAATGAATTAAGTATACGCAGCTCTATCACTGATAATATACAAATGTAAATTTGAATTTAATGTGTCTGGCTTACTAGTAGTGGATGGAATTTGTTATGAACTTACAGAAGCTAATCGTAGCTGTTCTGGGTTTTAACGTTAAATAATGTGGAGTTAATCCTTGGAATCCTTTTAATGAAATACTAATCGCAGCACTGCACACAAAACAAAATATGTCATTGTCGAGTCATTTAGCCCAATCTTTTCCTTTAAAAGTTTGGTTATTATTTTTTTCAAACCAAATATCACGTAATTTGTATTTTCGTATTTTTTAAAGTATGTAGGAATATTATATTACAATTTATAACAAAAAATAAACATAATAACTAAAAATTTCCTAACCTTCTATATAAATAAGTAGACTAATAAAAGAAAGCAAACCAGAACATTAAAACTAAATAACAAATATACTACTAACAATAAAGGGATCTCTTTGTTTTTTTATTTTTATTTAATTTTGGATTCTGATTTATTGTTATGATATAAACACCAATAATTAAGAAGAGGCAATAAAGTTCATAAAAATTGACAGTATGACCACAAGAGTATAAGACAAACAAAAAAACTAAAATTTTAAACTACATATATTTAAGAATATTATATTTGCAACATTTTTAAAATCTCATAATATTTGTTTATGGAAATATTAAATAAAATTTCTATAAAAAATAAAAAAAGTGAGGGATTTCCAAAATTAGGATCATAAATGAAAAAAGTGATCTTGCAGCCCTGCTTATGTCCAATATTTTATCTTGTGCTGAATATGCAGACTGAACTTCAATATTAGAAAGATAAGTTTCATTAGAATAGTTAGTCATCGGTGTGTAATGTTTGGGATTTTGGTTTATCCCTTTATTTGTTTTATTAGATTTTAATTATTAAAAATTTATGAAAAACTTTTTCATTTTGATTTTTAGTAAGAAAAAAAATGTGAATATATATTTTTCATATTTAATAATTGTAAAAACCTTGTGAGGAATATGTTCGACACTTTTTTGATGGAATAGGACTACCTTAAGATGTTCAATTTTATTTTAAATTGTATTATATTTATTTAATTAGTATATTTACATTTAAATGTATAAATACATAAAAGAGTATAGTTTAAAGCTTAAAAGTATAATTGAATAAAAGAAAAGACATTTTCTCCACATACAAGACACGTGTCCGCTTCTTCTGCACATTTGACACAGGTATAGACATGCCTACAGGGTAAAAATACTGTTGCTATTTCTTCTTTGTTACAAACTTTACAAAGCATTGAGTTCAATGTGTTGGAAAATATTTTAAAACTGAACGGTATTAGTTGGAGAAATTTGTTTAGTTTTTGTTTTTTATCCTTCCATAAATATATTCTCATCAATTTTGTGAATGAAATTCTACATATAGCGCACTGTTCTAATGCTAAAGTACATTCAATGCAGGCAATAGCATGACCGCAAGGAACAATAGCAACTTCAATTTCTTCCTTACAACAAATTTTGCACATCATACAATCTGGCACTGAATTATGATTTAGCTTTTGAAAAAGATTTTCCTGGATTTTATTAGATGTATTGGTAATTGTTATTTTACCAAAATGCCTGTAAGAACAAATAAAAAAAAATTAATAAATAAAATAAAATCATTTTAATACTAAAAAATAATTATAAAACTCAACTTTTTACAATATATTCAAATGTTAAATTTATTTTAAATTAATTAATGCATTATGTAGTTATATCTGGTATAGTTAATAATAAATAATAAGTAATAAAGAAAACTAGTATGTGGAGAGTTTGCAGGGGGTTTAAAACATAATTAAATACTATGTACTTATAGTAAATGTGGATGGATGTGCTTTATATTTTATAAATTCAACCTATATTTATTATCTTCTAACATAAACCCACCCATCATCCTTTCATTTAAATATTAACTAAAATTAACAAAATTAGTTTATGACGTCTCTAATTTAAGTACATAAAACAATAACAACATATAACATTTAAAATGTACAGTTAGATAAGTTAATACTATTATTATTTATTACCAATTCTAAATCCTTTATACTACCTATGTTCAACAAGCCATAAAGGGCCAACTAGTCTACCGATTTAAACGCCTTACATATTATCCTGTCAATCCATAATACAGTGTAATATAATTATTTATTAATTATAAACAAAATAAAACCATTTTATATATAAGTATAAATTAAAGGTTCAATCATTAATTTAATTTTGTATAATTTATAAAAATTTATTGAGTTTATGTTTAAACTAATATTATTACTCTTGTTTATTTATGTTTTTCACTTGCGTAAAAACAGGAACATGTAACTAATATTACTAATATACTATGATTACGATGTTAATGTCAATAAGATAATTTCAATACTGATTAAAACAAATGAAGAAAAACCTGCAATCAGTGTTGTACTAACACAATGTCATAATGTAGGAATAAGATAAAAAAATATTTTTTTAATGTCTTGAAATAAATTCTAAATTATATTTATAAGATTTATTGAACAAATAATAATTAATTTAAATAACAGATGGATTTTTATTAAATTGTTATTATATTAATTCAATGAAACATACTTTTTTGTTGACTGTATTCTCATTTTATAATCGAGAGCGAGTGTATTTTTCTGTGCATCAATCAACTTGAATAATTCCTTCAAATTAAGTATAAGATAAATATTTAATATTATTTTTAATGTTTTTAATTTAATACAATTATTAAATTACCAGTTGCTTGGAGTTTATGATATCACTATCCACAGCATCTACCATATCACCAAAGCTTTTGCCTTTCTTTAATAACAAATATCTACAAGTTTTTGACCATTTTACGTGTACTCTCCACGGTTCATGGGTTTCATTCCAGTGACTCAGTGTATTACCACAGTAGAAACAAGTCAACAAATCAGTATGACCATTGCCTAAAAATATATTAAAACATTAAAATGAAAAGTCAATTATTATTATAAATATTTTTATCATTTTACCTGAATAAAAAAATCCAGCTTCACATAAAATATTAACATTTACTGGCAATGATATCAAACATCTTTTAAATGATAGGAGGCGTATATTAAATTGAATCATCATTTCATAAAATATAGGACTTAAAGATAGAATTATACCCTCAGAATCTAACCTATCTTCAATATTTTTTACCTCAATTCTTGATCGGTAAACAGCAGTAGAAGAATTGTGATAAATGTCTAAAAATATAATTTAATTATGTAATTATTTCAAACAATTTGCAAAAACAAAGTATAATAATTTTTATCAGACCCAAGTTTATTAAAATTGTAAAATAAGGGGGGGGAAAGGTATGTACTTAAAATTTTACTTTATAATTATTATTTATTAAGATTAAAATTTAAAAACTTTGTAATAACGATTTTATAATATTACTTATACATAAATGAAAAATATTTATAGTTTTTCACATATATTTTTCATAAAAAATTAATTGATTAACAAAATATTAAAACTTGGTACTGATCCTAATATCAAATTAATACTATAATAATTTATTGGAATTAATTTCAAATAATCATTTAATTATTACAGTAGTTCTCTTTAAATGGCTATTTTTCAGTTATAAATATGTTATTAAACACAAAATATTTACCTCAACATTTATTAATTAAATTCCATATCAAATTATAAAAATATAAAAATTATTTGATATTTACCTTTGTATTCAATAACAAATGGACATCTTGGACTGTGAAACATATGTTCAGTAAAGGGAATATCATTTCGTTCCCAGTTATCAAAATCTTTCTTGCATGAAGAACATTTTACACAATCTCGAAAGCCTGTGTAATGAAACCCAGCTTCAGCCATTTCACGAGGTTTTAAAAAGTCAACAGGCCAGTTGTAAAATGTTTTCATACGACCTTTAACCGTTGATAACTGTAAAAATAAAAGATGAATTACAAAATCATTAAATTAATTTGATATTTACTTACAATATAATTAATAAATCCGCAATCTGGAGAAAAACGAATATGTTCACATAATGGATCATCACCCGGTTTCCAACTAAACATATTCACTCTGCAGTCAAAACATATAACATTATCACCATCACCTGAGTAAAACAAACCAGCTTGGGCTAATTCAAAAGGCGTTAAATAACTTAAAACCCACTTTTCATCAAAGGATTTCCAACGACTTTGAAAAGTCATCTGTAAAAAAAAAGTTAAACATAAATTAGTGTGCATTTAAAAAAAATAATAAATATATATTAAATATACAAGGTTTAACTTAAATTATATGGAATTTTTATAAAACTTTAAAGAATCAATTTATTTACCTTTAATATAATACAATTAATTTCAAATTTCAAAAATATAAATATGTATCTACATAATTATACTTATTATTATTAATTATTATATATTATATTAAAACGTTAGCATTAAAATGTTTAAATTAAATAATACTTATCAGTTATTAATTTATAAATAGATAATATTTGTTAGAATAAAACAAAAACATGGTTAAAAATAAATAGAACTATAGATAAATTAATGTATATTTCTTAAATATTAATTACTAGTTGTACTTATTCAACACATTTTTTTTATAAGAATCTAAATGTTTTCAAACAATATTAGCTAAATTAGAAATACTATGGTTGTTGTATTTCAAAAATTAACTAATTCATAATTGGTATTATTTAATATTGCTAACATCTTTGTGAATAATGAATGCACTTTTTAAGTATAGTATAATCAGAGTAGGGCGTTATTCGAATGAAATTTTATTTAGATGATATTTAATTCGGATAATTTCAAAACGTTATAATTCGATTAATTTTTGTTAATTTTGTTTGGGTAATCATAGGATTGGTAATTAAAAACAGGCTAATAGTTGGCATTGTAGGTATTTTAAATTACATGATGGTGAAAATATTATAAAATATTATGTATACAACAGATATAAATCTATAGAAGAAAGTAAAGAATTTGACATATTTTTTTTAATAATAATTTAGTGATATTAAAATATAAATATTATTTTGTAATAATTACAACAATTATAAATAGTAATAACAAAAATGTAAATAAATATTTTGGCAAAAATGAAAATAAATAAATATAGCAAATTTTAAATTTCAATAAATAAAATTATTATTAAATTTTTAATAAATTATTAAAAAAATTAATTTAGTTTAATATATCATAGTATAATTAATGCTATTATTAACTAGAAGACTTATAAATTATAATCTTATTACCATTATATGATACATATTTTGTACTACCTAGTATAATTTTTATTTGAATAATAACAGTTTGAAATTATCCGAATAATTTTAATAGAAATGGGTAACATTTTAATATAATTTAATGTAAATAACAATAATAGCAAAATGTAAATATTTGTACGTTTTTTTTTTCATTACCTAAAAACGATGACGAAAACTACTAAATAGATATTGAAAAATATCAACCAAAAACAGAAGCGTCAATACAGTTTTAAAATAAGACTGCTACATTTTTTATCAGGCCACATTTTTCTACTACCAGGCCACTGCTATAATAATAAAAATTGAAATGTAGAGATTATTTCAGACTTTTACTAGAGATGAAAATAAATCTGCAAAGTCTATAATAATAAAAATAGAACCTTAAGCTCCTACTTATGAACTTCTACCTCTTTTAAATTATAGTAGTAATCAGAAAGCTACTTTATTGTATTTATTGTGCCATTATATAATCTAGATTACATTATCATCTATAATTATACAAATAAATCAGAATGCAATTAAATATACGAAAAAAATATATATCATGTTTCTAATGCAAGTAGTTATTTAAAGTAAGCAAGCATTTTTTTGAAAACCAATAAATAATTTATAGTTTGAAATTAAGAGTAACGCTTAATTTAGTTTATATCTTTGAATTTTCAATTGAGTGAATTCATCTACTGTTGCATTTAATTTTACATTCTAAAATAAACTAATAAGTAAGCAACTGATTTACCATTTTATTTTTTATCCAATATAGAATCCACTTTTCAACACTAGCTATAAGATTCTCACTTGATGCGTGCTTCTTTAAAGCTTTTATTTTAGATGTCTGTGAGTTGAAACCTATATTAATAAATATATAATTTTCAGAATAGTTACCACAAATAAATACACCTAAAAAAAAAAAAAAACATTATTAGATACTCAGTATTTAATCCAATTATCTAATAAATAATAATTTGCACCAAAAGATCTACTCTTTGTATTTCTTGGATATATACCAATTATTAAAGGCTGCACACTTCTGATTTTTAGACAAGAAATATCATATTACACCTAAGTAAATACAATTTTTATTAATTTTTAAATTAATATTTTATTTTCAAATACAGTTGGGTACTTTACATTGAGTATTCTCAAAATCAGGTATATTTTTGCTATTATTATCAATAAAAGTTTCAGATATAAATTAATTTATACTGCTTTATAAATTAATGTTTGTGATATCATTAGTTACAGAAAAATTACTATTAATTTATAAAAATTATTAAAAGTAAATTAACAAAATAAAAATAAAGATTTTTAAATTTATATTTTACTCACTTTAATTGAAGGTAACAGCATTAACGTTTTTTTTTAAAAACATATTAACAAGTAAATTTGATTTCGAACAATAATTTGCTTTTTTTATCTTTTAAATGTGCGGCTCTCATTATTTAACCTTTTTTTTACTTCACTTATTAATTATTAGTAATGACGTGGCTTATAATGAGAGGAAATTTGGAAAATATATTTAATAGGTACGCAAAATAAAAATGATTAAGCTTACGAAAAACAACTAATAATCAAAGTGATTTACCTAACGATAAAGATTATAATAAATTAATAATAAATAACATTACGTTAACTATTTTGACAAAATAAATTAAACGGACTTATAATATTATGAATAAAAAGAAAATATTTTAACTTTTCATTTGCTTGTAAAAGCAACATACTAAAACTAATCATATACTACAAGTAAATAAAGTATACACACTTAACAGTATTAACACTATTAACTATGGTAGTATTGGTAGTACCGTTGTGTTGTCTTATGTAGGTATCGACTATCGATGCACCTCGTTTCCCAAACCATTAACTTTTATATTTTAAAACGATAACACTGATAAAAGGTATAATAATACAGTAAAAACCGCTTATTAGAAACACGGATAATTGATACAATCGCGTTATTAAAACAAAATGTCTCGGGAAGGATCGACCGTATATTAGAACAATGAAAATAAATCGGATTATTGAAACATCACATCGGTTATTTGAAACAATTGGGAAAAAGTCAGTTGACATATACACCGATTATCCGGCGATAACCAATGTACTTCAATCTAATTTTTGCTGTCATTACGTTTATTTTTACTGTAATTTATCGTGAGAATGCTCTTTCTGTACGTACCGGTCGTACCGTTTGGAGTTTAGCTATATAATACCGCGGTCTTGGAAATAAAGACGGTAATAAATATATATTATGTATTTAAATTTTAAATTAAATCAATTAATTAAATTTAACTGATACATCGGCGTCAGTGTAAAACTGAGGAAGTCTAAAATTTTACGAAAAAAATAGGACTACCAATGTATATCATCATGCGATACCCAAAATGGCGCACTTGTCCAAAAAGCGGACAAGACGACTGGAGAACATTATGGAAATCGATTATAAATATTTATACAAATAAAATGTAAACAACTCACGTTCTATGCGGCGCCAGCGTTTGTATTTGGGGCGTAAAAACGTCGTTGACAGGTAAATAAAATAGTGTTGATGAATAACCGAATATATCGAAAGAGCCAAATAAAGCGTTACTACAAAGTACAAAATGTCGAAGAGATTTCTTTACGATAATCAGAGAAGTTTAGACCCACCCTTTCTCTAAAAGCGCTGATAATCGTAGTAGAGGTTTTTGGCGTTATACAATAATTTACAATAATATGTTTTACTACTGAGTACTGGCTTGCAAAAATTTGGCTTGATAAGACCACTACTCCTCCGCACCTGGCCAATATTATTATTTTCCAACTTGACTAATCGATTTTTAATATTAAAATAATGTAAACCAAGAAGAAACGCAGAACAACGGTATAGATTAAAAAGAACAATAAAATATATTTGATCTAAGTATGAGTAAAAAAAAAACCAAGGTCATAGTACAATTTTTAAGTAAAAAAAAAATGTTGGGCGTTGGCTTTAAGATCAATACACGACTGAGCGGTAACATAATATTATTATATACCAAGGGTGGCTAAACTGCGGCTCCCGTCATAGATTCAAATGGCTTGCATCTTTTCGTAAAATATAAACATTATTACAAAAAAATTATTTTCAATATAAATTTAAGAGTATATGTTTATGTATTTGAAGAAATATATTTTATAAATTTCAATTTATAGAAAATTTTTTTTAATAAATAGTGTTTTTGATATAATATTTAAATACCTATGTATTTATTTTTATTTTTAATTATTAATTAATATCATTTTTTTTTTTTTTGTATTTTATACATTTTATTACAATTGATATCTAATTATCTTTACGATAATCATATTCATGCATTAATATGAAATCTTTTTTCATTTTGGCTCTTCCATATTTTTTAATAAATTGGGTGGCTCGCAAGTCTCTTCTTGTTGGTCACTCATTTTTATACATTTGTATATTTTTTCAGTTGTCTGTGAATTATAATTTAATGTTTATTATTTATAAGTTTTAAAATACAAAAATTCTATACCTCTCTTCGTAGTCTGCTTAGGCACGCCATTTGTTTTTGTTTTTTTTTTCAATAGTTTTGATTTTAAATGATTTTAAGTATACTTTTTTTTTTATAATTTAATTAATTTTAATAATTATAAATCTAATTCATAAAAAATCTTTTAAATTTTAAATAAAAAAAAAAAAAAATATGTGAATGTATGAATTTTTATTATATTATTGAAACTCAAAAAATATAATTTAACAAATATTTTGATTTAATTATAGTTTGTTTAATGATAAATAATGATGAATACATTTTTAAGAATCTAATATTGTGTTATACTTTGTCCTATTTATTGTTAATAAGTTAGGGGTGTGTTTAAAGGCAGTGATACTAATTTGTTACGATGAGTATTTTGAAATGACTCATCAATATCTAAATAACTTAATAACAAATATATCAGTATCTACTTGGTTTATAAAACAAATGCCACAAAATAAAGTTTCTTTAACTAACCTTTTTGTATGGTGCATAAATGCTTAATAATATGAACGTATGAAACTATAAATAATTCAATTATAAGTATAATACCCATTAACACTAATATTAACTATCGTGAACAGTGGCGTCAATTACGGATATCAACATCCAACTTGGGTAAATTTCTTAGAATTATTTATTTGCGGTCCATGTAGGTGAGGTGGTAATAAATGATCACTGATCAGTATTCAGTAGTCATATTTAAATATCATCATCATAAATCATTTAACAATAATGGTAAATATAAAGTATAGGTAGTAATAGTATATTAGTATATGGGTCTTATACTAAATTATATTATATGTATTCTATTATAACTATAATATATAATTTTTATAATTTAAGAAACTGATTATTATGTTATGTAATTATAAATGTACTTTGATGCTTATAGGTTGTTCATAAAATAATACAAGTATTAAAATTAATACAATTTTGCTTAAAAAATTATTTTATTATTCAGTACCTATCTTGTCCGTTATAGTTAGAAATAAATAAGGTAGGTATTGTAAGCTTAGCCAGATTTTTTTTTTAAAGGGGTAGGTCTTATATCAGCAATTTTTTCCCCATAACATGAAATCTGTCACTAATTTATAAAAGTAATCAGGAGTAATAGATTAAACTGAAGGACTGGAACTTTGATGATTTTTACGGTTTCGGTTCCGACGAGGTTCCTAGAAAAACTAAAAATTTGGTTTCGGTTTCTTTTCGATTTTAAAAAAACTAAAATTTCGGTTCTAGTTTTTTTTTTGGTTTTTAAAAAAAAAACTATGATTTTGATTCCGGTTCCTTTTTGGTTTTTAAATTTAGGTTTCGATTCTTTTCGGTTCTTATAAAATGAAAATCACATTTCCTGTTTAAGTTTAATACTTAAAAAAATTTGGTTTCATTTCGATTCTTTAAAAAATATAAGTATTTTCCAGGGCTTTGCACCCGATCGTAACCCGAAACCTGAAACCCGAATTAACCCGAGTAGGTAAATTGAAAACCCCAAACCCGTATTATATAACACCCGATTGAAAAAATTAACATCCAAATTAACCAGAAACCAGAATTTATATTTAGGATTAACCCAAAACCCGAATTATTATTAAATACGAAAAAATGAGTGATGAAATATCAAATCGTACGTACTTTTCACTAGTAAGAAGATAAGAAAATAGTTAGTATTTTATTGATAGAATTTAACATAATAATATGTTGTATCGACTATCGATATTACTACAACTTTACTGTTTGTGTATAATTCTTAACAATATTATATCTAAACGTGTGCGTAATTTTATTGCTTGTGGTTAGTTATGATTAGGTACAATAATTTATAATATTAAAAGTGTTTAAGCACGCGTGTACAGACTACAAATATAACAGAATATATGAAAATAGTGTAAAATATTAATCAGGTTAAAACATTAAGTAAATTAAATTTTTTGTAACGTTGTATAAATGTATCATACACAATGTTTACCTACCTAATACGGTCAGAAAATGCCAAATGGTACATATTGGCTACTATAACACTTAAATACTTTAAAAGTTGGCCATATAAAAAATTATAATTAAATAGGAATGGGCAGAAAAAGAACATTTCTCATAAATATTTTAAATTTAATATTTTCTCTGGAAAATCAGTATGTCAAATAAATTCTTGTGGACATGAACTAGTTGGTGAACATGTCAACAATTTATAACGTCATATAGAAAGTTTGCGCTTTGATGTTTATGCAAAATATTTGTCTGTGGAAGCTATAGAAATTGAAAAAAAGAAGAAATTTAGGACATAATATTTCTTTTTAAATTATACGAATTTATCCATTTGGACTTTTAGGTATAATAATATGCTTGAATATTAAATAATAAATTATTAACTATTATAATTTATAAATTTAAAATCAATGATTATACTTTAATACATTTTTAAAATTGTATGAATTATACCTTATAAATTATAAGTATAATACTCTAAAGTTATAAACTAAATTACTAAGTAAGTATATATAAAGTATAAATCAGAATATTGTAAAAATTAATTCGATTCACCTATCTATGTAGGTACTTACATTTTTAAGTCTTAACATTACCTTTTGATAAATATTATAAATTTATAAACATAGAAGTTAATATTAATCAAGTTTTTTACTATAGTGTAAACCAATGACACAGTCAACATTAAATTTTGAAAATAAAAAACAGAGTATTTCCATTCAGCTTACAGCAAATAACTTTTGAATGTTATACAAAATTAGTAGCGGTCAATGGACGACTATTTTAACTTTAAGAGGATAGTGGATTTCTTAAAATTATAAATCTTTTATTTAAAGGTTTGGATGATAGCTGTTATATAATTAATAAACGGAATGTAAGATTAAATGTTATACTTAAATCAAAAAGTTGTGGCAAATATTAAAAACTCAATTATAAATAAATTATTATGCCTTAAAATGGACTGGGGGTCAAGAAAAGATAAATCCATTTTAGGAATAAAAGTTCAATAAGTAGCTACTGATACAACAGCAAAAACATACATTAGCTATGGCCGAATTAACTTGGCAATACACTGCAGTATATTTAAAAGAAAAGGTCAGTGAATACTAAATTATTTATAATATAAATCTTTTTTAATAAATAAATGAATATTGATGAGAAATAAATATTTAATATATTATAATAATCTAATTGATTTAAAGTGAATGAAGTTCTTAAAATTTTTGAAATTAACAATTTTTTACAATCATAACTGATAATACAAGAAATTTTGTGAGATCGGTAGACCTTATGCATAAAGAAAATGATGGTTATAAAAAAAATTTTAATTTTAGTTTTACAATGTTAAATATTTTTACTTTTTAGTTTATATTGTTTATACTTATATTAATAATTGATGATCAATAATGTTATAACGTAAAAATTAAATTAAATAATAAACAAGTATGGTGTTATAATTTTTACTTTTAAACTTAATAATTAAATTAATGATCATAGTACACATACAAATTAAAAAGTAAATAAAGCTAAGTATTATATTAATTAGGTATATAGTTATTTATTAGTCAATTATTGTTGAACAAAATAAAATTTATATTTTTTGAAAATTTGAAATATATACTTTTTAAAATGAAGAATTGTTAGAAAATGTTAAAATATTAACCCAACTAATGAATCTAATGAAAATTTAGAATTAAATTCTCTAGATGGCTTAGAAGATGATTTAGTGACTGCAATTTCAAACGAAAACAATAATTTCTGACAACAAAAAGAAAATTTGAAACTTCTAAATGTGTTTATTTGTTGCTCTGTGCATATTTTACAACTTTATGTAGAAGATGCACTTAAATCAATATTAGATCGAAAATGTATTTCTAAAATGAGAGGTGGTATATGAAAATAGTTTTAAAATTGTATTAATAATAATTATGGTTATTTGTAGATAGGGAAAAAACTCAGAACTCCCAACAGTATTTCAAATAATAAAAAGTTGATGATTGAAATGGAAACTCGATGGGGTAGTTCTTGTGACATGTTAAATCGTCTCTTGAAATTAAAAGAAGTATGTAAAGATGTATCTGATACTTTTAATGAATTTAATGTAACTGATTATAAATGACAGAAAAAGAAATAATAGTATGTTATATCTTGTTTATTTAATTTTAAACCTTATTTTTAAAATGTTATGCTTAGTTGTTTCAAAATTTTACTAAGTTTAATATATTTTTATTTTTTTTTTTTTTTTTTGTAATAATTAAGCATTAACAATTTAGACAGGTAAAATTTTTATAACCAGCTAAGCAAGCGAAATTGAACTTCAAAAAGAAGTTCTTACAATTGGAAATTTTTATAGAATAATTAAAAATTGAAAATAAATAAAAATTAGATTAATCATAAATAATAACCACGAAGCTTACAAAAAAATGCTGTTATTGATTTACTAATAAAAAAAAAAAAAAATACAATTTCGCGGAGTTTATAATTAATTGCCTATGTGTATATAACTATGTGCCTAACTATTACTTAAACTATACTTTAAATAGTTAACTATTTAAAAAATGAACATGAATTTTAGCTTGTAATTAAAGAATTATTTAATTATTAAAACTCAAATTTTATCAAATGATAATGTTAACTAAAAAAAATATTTTTTATTTAATATTATGTTTATGTAGTAAATATTGAATTAATTTTTTAAAATTCTCACAAGGAATGCCAGCTATAAAACATAGTCATAATTTAAGATAAATTAAAAATTAAACACCCAATATTTATATTTATATATGTTGTAAAAATAGTTATATAAATATAATATAAATTAAAACTAACTTAAACGCTAAATATTTTAAAAATACAAATATTTATAAAAATAAACGATAGTGATACTAAACAATTTTAACTGTTTATAATTTTTAAGAAATAAAAGAACTTTTTAAGTACCATAATTCTAACTATAGCATATAAATTATAATTTTTTAAATACATTAAAAACTGGTGGATCTATATAGTTCTAGTTTTGAATTGTGTAATTAGACTATTAGAGTAACTCTCTAGTATATATACAATTTAATTTATTAATTCATTTATTAATAGGAGATTATCCAACAAGTATATTTTCATATCAAGAGGACAGTTAGTGCAATTGCTGTTTTTGATGTCATGTATTATTAAATAATGTCAATAATGAAAAAAGTTACACATTTATTTATAAAGTGATATTTTTCCATTCTTTATATACTCATTACAAAAACATTTATGGACGACACAGTTCTTAATACTCATATTTAAATAAAATAAAAAACAATACATTTATAAAAATACACGATACAGTTTAAAAATAGTATACTTTATAAATAACTAACACTGTATTAAACCATTCGTGTTAAATTCTGTAGCCTATTTGTAGAGCAGATAAAATATGTCCTATCACAAGTAGACTATGTGTTATTATCGTCACCACTGCTTTATTGTTAAATGCTTATATTATAAATATTAAATATGTATAGATATACATTTAAAGACAATATGGTAAATAATCTCTGTCGTTAAATACATATAATGTATTATATTTGAAATAAATAGTCAATATAGACAACAAGACAAATAAATACCACCTGCCTAAACAACAAAAAGAAATCCATGAAAAATTATTATTACTGACTACATTGTTTACTTCATTGTTTTAATTCGATGTAAATGTTACGGGCAAAGTAGACTATTGGGCAATGTTTTACATAGCTTAATCAATGTATACTTTACTTGGTTTAAGTTGTTTTTCCCGTAGTAAACTGGGCATTGTAACTTAAGCTATAAACAAAACTTTCCATTTAAATAATTTTTTTTTTTTAAATATGTTAAACATTTAAAAAGAGTAGATATAGTGAGGAGGATAGGTACTATGTTTCAGTTATGTATTTATTTTGAATGCAATAATGATAAAAAATGTTAATGTAAGGTGGACAGGAATAAATATAATTCAAAATGTTGAAGTCAGTAGTTATAGTTAAGGTAATAATATTCAACTAATAAAATATTTAATAAGATTTGTGAAGTTTACACTGTTTATAATTTTATGAAATAAACTTAGTTTACATTGCCCAACCTAGACTGGACAATTCTTATTTTTAATCTAGGTTATTCTATATAGCCTGGGCAAAGTATAATTTTGCCTACAATACCATCATAATCAGGCAGTAACATAATGCCCGGGCAATGTTTACATTGCCCAATAATTCACTTTGCCCGTAACATATACATACTTATAAAACATGTTTATGGACTAAAATATATTTATTATAATTTCAATAAAATCAGTTGTTTTAAGGAATTATAATTTTAATTAAAAATCATCTTAATCTATTAAATATTATGAGAGAGTTTGTCAATATTTAAAATTAAAACTCTTGTAGAAAAATGAACTCGGTTTGACACTGTTTTTAATATTCTTGTAATGAAAATAATAAAAGAAACATTAAACAAAATATTCTTCATATGAAAAGAATAAAAATTAAAAATTCAATAAATTCTCGACTAAAATATGTTTTTTTATTTTAATGAAAAAAACTGATATCTATAATTATCAAGAATCTTGTGAGCAACTCTGTATACATTTTTTTTTTTTATCACAAACATAATTTTAATAATACACAAGTTAAATAAAAATATTAAAAATTAAAAAAAAAAAATAGTTATTTACAATAATTGACTCATGTATTAAAATAAATATAAACACTTACTTAAAATAATTTAGGTGGTTATAGTCAGACATACTTTAATAAGGGAAATGTATTATGCTTATTGATATAGAACTTGTAGTGTGTATAAAATAATTTAATACTATAAAAATGTTTAAATTTTGTTTTATTACACCCAGGTTTTAATTTTATTTTTATAAAACTCCCTTGACTATATTATTGAAAATGCAACAGACACTTTCATTTCACTACTACAACCATCTTAAAAAGTCTCTGGACTTTTTTTTTATTTTTATTATCATTAATATCACAATAAAATATATATTAATACAAAAACTGAATAAAAAAATAAAAAGTTATATAAAATCATTGATTTGTACATTATATATAATTAGTGATCCTAGTTAGTCGTATAGTTAGTCTAAGGAGGGCAATTAATTAAGCTTATTAAGATAATATAACTTGTAGTGTGTATTAAATAATGTACATTATTAAAAAATTTTAAAATTTAGAAATTATGTTGTATCACACCCAAGTTGTTAATTTATATTTTGAAAAAAGTTTTGATTATATTGAAGAAAATATATAAGGCACTCTTGTTTAATTAACTAGAACCAAGTACTTTAAGATGTTCAGTTTCATAGTAAAACATTTATTTAAATAGTATACTTAAATTTAATTTTATAAGCACATAGAAGTGTTCTATAAAGCTAGTAAATAAAGTAGTAGTAGTGTTAAATTTAGAAGTATAATTTAATTAAGGAAAATACATCTCTTCTACACACAGAACACAAGCTTATTTCTTCAGCACATTTACTACAGGAATAAACATGTCTACAGGGCAATAATACTGCTCTCATTTCTTCTTTAAAACAAATTTGGCAAAGCATCGGGTTTAATGTGTTGCTGGAAGACATATTAGAACTGGACGATGCTAATTGCGAGTTTTCATAATTTTCTTCATTTGTACATAAATAAACTCTCATTAAGTTGTGGAATGGATATCTGCATATAGCGCAATAATTTATATTTAAAGCGCATTCAATGCAAGCAATTGCATGACCACAAGGAACAAAAACCACTTTAATTTTTTCTTTATAACAAATCTTGCATAACATACAATCTAGCACAGAACTAGAATCTAATATTTCAGAAAGATGATGCTGTTTTTTGAAAAATAAAGTTTTAGTAAGTTGTACCCCATGAACATGTCTAGAAAAACAAAACAAAAAAATTAAAAAAATAAATTTTAGAGCTAAAAAATGTGTAAAAATAGTTATACTGATTTAATGTAACATACTTTTTTGTCATCTGTATTTTCATTTTATTATTGAGAACGTAAGTTTTTTCTTGTTTTGCTATAAAATCAAATAACATCTACAAATAAAAAAAAGGCAAATTTTTAATATTGTTTCTAAACTAATAAAACTATTAAATTACGAAATAGCTGAAACGTACGGCATTAGTATGCAAATTATCTAAACCGTCCACAAAGTTTTTGCCTTTAGTTAAAAACAGATGTCCACACTTGTCAGACCATTTGGCATGTTCTGCCCATGGTTCATCGTTATCAGTCCAGTTTCTTAAAGTTATAGCACAAAAAAAACAAGTCATAAAATCAGTTTGACCATTGCCTAAAAATATATTGAACATTTATATTAAAGGGTCAATTATTATTATAAACATTATAATTTCACCAGAATAAAAAAATCCAGCTTTGCATAGAGTATTAATATCTTGTTTCAATGTTCTCGGACAGTTATCAAATGTTTTCAAGCGTGCATCAAAGGAGATCATTTTGTTTCCACCAAAAGGTTTTAGTCTTTGCATAATACCCTCTAAATGTAACCAAGTTTCAATATTTTTCTCACGTTTGTAAAACATGACATCAGCAACAGAAGAATTGTACAGACCACATGTCACATATATGTCTAAAAATATGAATATATAATATATGAATATGTAATTATTTCAAAAAATCTACAAAAATTAAGTATATATTCAGTTTTGTCGGACCTAAGTCTATTATTTAAATTGAAAAAAAGAAGGGAATGTACTTAAAATTTTATTTTATAATTATTATATAGTTTAAAATTTAAAAAAGTTTGTAATAACAATTTTATAATATTACTCATACATAAATGAAAAATATTAATATGTTTTTAACATATGCATATATTTTTCATAAAAAATTAATTAATTAACAACATATTAAAATTTGGTATTGATCCTGATATCAAATTAATATTATAATAATATTGAAATTCATTGGAATTAATTATAAATAATCATAAAATGAATACAGTAGTTTTCTTTATATGATTTTATAGTTATAGTTATGTTATTAAACACAAAATTTCACCTCAAAATATATTATTTTAATTCCATACCAAATAATAATAACAGTAAATTTATTTTAGATTTACCTCCAAATCCTTGAATTAATGTACAAAATCTAGACTGCTTACGATGTTCAACTAATGGAACATCACCATCTTTCCATGCATTAACATTTAAAAAGCATTCAGTACATCTTACTTCATCTTGTTTGCCTGTGTAAAAAAAACCAGCATCAACCATTTCACGTGGTCTTAAGAAAATAAGAGGCCAGTTATTAAATGTTCTCAAACGACCATCAACTGAAGCCAACTGTAAAAAAAAAAAAAAAATAGATTACAAAAATATTAAATTTTTTTAGATATTTACTTACAATTTCTTTAATAAATGGACAATGCATGAAGTAACGAGTATGTAGTTGTAACGGATCATCACCATGTTTCCAGTCATAAAATTCTATACCACATACATGACATTCTACTTCATCATTAACGCCTGAGTAAAAAAATCCTGCTCGGGCCATATCATATGGTCTTAAAAAGTTTATAGGCCACGTTTCATTAAAAGATAACAAACATCTTTCCATAGCCGTCATCTGTAAAAAAAAATATATATAAATATCAATTAATTTATATTTAATAAGGCGATCGGAGAACATAATTTAAATCTATTACAAATATTTAGACAAATAAAATGTGAACACCTCACTTTTTATGTGGCGTCAGTTGGTTTGTATTTGGGGCACAAAAACGTCGTTGGCGGATAAATAAAACAGTGTTGAAAAACAACCGCATGTATCGACAGAGCTAAATGAAGCGTTACTACAAAACTTCGTAGAGATCTCATTCCGAAAATCAGAGTATTTTAGACCCACCCTCTTTCTAAAAGCACTAATGATTGTAGTAGACGTTTTTGGCGTTATACAACACTGATATGTTTATGTACCGGCTTACAATAATGTGGCTTGATAAAATAACGACTTCTTCGCACCAGACCTATATTATCATTTTCCAAGTTCGACTAATCGATTTTTAATATTAAAATTATGTAAACTAAGAAGAAACGCAAAACAATGGTATAGATTAAATAGAATAATAAAATATATTTGATCTGGGTATGAGTAAAAAAAACCAAGGTTATAGCACAATTTATATCTAAAAAAAAATGTTTAGCGAAATTAATACACGACTGAGCGGTAACATAATTATTATATACATCTCAGTTGTTTGTGAACTATAATTTAATGTTTATTATTTATTATTTATAAGCAAAAAAAAATTCTAATCTTTGTATTCTATTTAGGTATGCCTATGGTTTTTTTTAAAAAATAGTTTACATGTTTAATGATTTTAAGTATATATTTTTTATGATTTAATTAATTTTAATATTTATAAATCAAATTCATACGAAATCTTTTGTATTTTATAGAATATAATATATAAAAAAAAAAAAAAAAAAAAAAAAATGTGAATGATAGCATACATTTTTATTGTAGTATTGTAATTATAGTTAATTTAATGATAAATAATATTGAGGACATTTTTAAGAATCTAATTTTTTGCTATACTTTATCCTATTTATTGTTAATAATTTGGGATGTGTTTTAAGGCATCAAATTAATATGTTACTATGAGCATTTTTAAGTGATGCATCAATACCTAAATAACTTAATAATAAATATAACAATATTTACTTAATTTGTAAAACAAAACCCCGTGAAATAAAAACTCTTCAACAAGCTTCTTTTTCTATAGCGCATAAATACATAATAATATGAACATATGAAACTATAGGTACAATTCATTCAATGATATGCATTAACACTATTATTTACTATACAACCACTTATGGTGAATTAATTATAATTTATATTGTACTAACATCTGATTGTAAATTAAGAATGTATTAAATTGAAAATGTGAAAATTGAAATAATATTGTGTATCTGCATTAAAGTAGTTTAGAGCTAAGATATATTTAATTTTATGGTACTTAATATTAACATGCTTAAAATATTATATAATTGTAGAATATGTGGATAAAATATACTTGATATTGTGAACTGAATAATCAAAAAATGAATAAATATGTGAACTGGTAAAGAAATAATTGTATTTTATTTAAAATTAAGTTATGATATCAAGACTATAATACCTCTATACAAAAAAGGTCAATGTAATCGATGTTACTAACTTACATAAATATTTATGTGGCATGGTTTCAACCTTTGAAACCATGAGATTTTATTCTGCATTTAATGTGTTTAGTTATTGTAGGTATTAGATTTAATGATTATTTATCCTTATACATTGAAGTAAAAAATATCAAATTCATTAGTTACTACAAAAAGTACTATATGTAGTGGTAAATACTTATAAATAAATGATAAATTTTAAAATTAAGTTAGTTAACTATTTTTAAAAAAGAAAATTATTTCTAATTAATGAACAAAATACAATCAAAAACAGTTAAATTTGATAAAATATGATAGTTTTGTATTTTAATTTATTAAACTATAACGGTTTTTAACATTAATATTATAAATTATCCTATTCAAAGTAATAGGAACTTTACATAAAACAGTTATGTCATTATTGAGTTTTATTGAAAAACTAGTTTTTATTTTAGGTAGATTTAGTATTGCAAATTTTGATAATAAGATTATAAATTTTGGAAAAAGCTACATATTAAATACATTTTTAGTAGAAAATGTATTGATATATTTTGGAAATTGATTTCAAAATTGAATAATGAAAATTAAAAAAACATTTAAGTCATATAATCAAAAAATTGTTTGGTAAAACATAATCAGGTTTGAAATTTGACTACTCATTTGTTTTTAAAATGAATGGTGTTTATTTTCAATCTTCCAATATATATATATATATTGTAATTTTAAATAAATTGTGGTTCACATTTATTATTTTATTGTATTAATGTTAAGCATATTATGCATCTAAAAAAATAAATTAACATTTCATTTAGATCATTCTATACATAACTTGACTAAGTTTAGCAATAAAAAATATGTCTCGGATAAATTGAATTAGTGGTTTAGGTAAGCTGCAATCCTTATTAGGAATTAAGTATGTACATTCAACAGCTTTAACATAATAATATATATCAACATGTAGTTTTATAGTATTTTTAGCATCAAGACGACTTTTAAACATACAGAGAAAATACAATTTCAAGTAATTAAAAAATAAATAATTATTTCTGTTTGGACCGAGGTATATATGAGTATATTACATTGTTTATTGTGTGAAACTGGGAATTTATTTAAAATTACTAGCGTAGCCACAATATTATTCTTGTTATTCAACAATTACCAAATATTAATGGATATGGTGTTTATCATTTTATTAATCGATGGTGAGGTTCTCATAAACAAATATAAGTACTGGAAAATCATAGTATAAATAAAACATTGAGTCGAAGCCCACTATCGACGACGGTATACATAACATAGACATAGACTAAAATACTCATTCGTTCAAAAATCTAAAATATCCAATTATCACTGATAGTGGTGTATAATAAACAGATACTTTATATAAATTTACTTTGTCCAGTGAAATCCCCAAAACAGCAACGGACTCGAATTCGGGACAGAAGGGAGACGGTCGCCTTGCATTTTATATAGAAGTATCACTACTGTAGGGCTAGAATTTTTAAGAAATTGCATTTTTTTCGATTTATCTAATTTAATGCTAACCTGGATACAAATTTAATTCATGTTATACTAAATCAAATAATACTATTTTAATTTTGGATATTTTTTCATACTTTATGGTTTCGTGTTTTAATTGCATATTAGGGATTTTAAAAATAAAAATGCATATTTCAATACATTTTTTTAAAAACAATTTGATAACGAACTATACAATTAATTCCACAATTTTTATGTATAAATTTTATAGGTGGTAACTACAGTCTACAATCTACCAAGTATTGACGTAAAATATAAATGTTTGTTATCGATTTATCGTGTTTGTTCGGAATTCCGGTACTTTATTGGACAAAATTTAAGATAACATCAGTTGATAAAGAACGAAGCTTTTCACACTATAACAATTTACTTAACGATAATAGACGTAGTTACAAATTTAGGCAAATTAAAAAAAAAAACGTAGTAACACAGTACAACGCTAATAATGGTAAAACCTAATTAATATATAATAATGTAAATTAAAGTAAATAAAACCCTATGTAAATTTAAAAAATGTATTTAAAATTGTATTAAAAAAAATAATAAATAAAAATTACTACTAGGTAATAAAAATGAAATATTTGTTTTATGAATTATAATAAAAAATTTTGTGTGTATTTGGCGTTTTTATTTGACGTTCTCGCAGTGAACGCCATTATTTATACCTACTCGGACGACAATTATTCAATAGAGTGAGTAGGAACGTACCTATAAGTACATCGAAAACTCCGGCGCAAAACTAGAACAGTTGTTCGCGCAAAAAAGTTAAATATATTATACTTACTTCTTCGGCGATCTGATGAGCCATTTTAATTTTCCTTCTTGATAATCTAGTAATGACTCAATACTGAGCGTGTTTCAGAATTTGGAATGTAGCAATGGCGATGAAGGCTGCAGTCAGCGAGTTCGATGTTGTTGCTGTTACGTGCGTCTAACGAAGTGCCCTGCGCCGGTCAATACTAAAGATCATATGATACAACGTTGAACATGTATTAATTAGTAATTACTAAGCGCGACGCACAATTAACAGTGTTAGCCACAATCTAAAAAAGATAATATTACGGAGTGCACGTGTTCACCACCCCTCGCATTTGTAGTACCAAAAAGTAGAAGGGCTGAGAGAGTAATAAACAACGGCTTGGATTCAACCATGAACTAAGATATACAGGACTGGACACAGAGCCTTATCAGCCGGTCAGACAATGTTACGCATTACTCCTTTAAGTGGAACCTACGCTATCTGGTGGCGAATTAGTTTGTTAATGTTATTACTAGGGCACGGATGTTGTTGCATTTGCAACTTTTCTTCTACCTTTCCAATTTATTGCTAAGTAAGTTTTAAATACGTTTCATGTAAGTATGAATTCAAATCTAAAAGTTTTAAGTGCAATTTTTTGCAATTTTTGGAATATTTGGAATTGTATTGGAATTTTGTTGAATTTAATCATTTATACTACCATTTTAGCTATATTCGAAATTCTACAGTCGTATAGATAAGATAATACTTAAATATTTCCAGTATATAGAAACGCTCCACTTACATCAACCGACGTAGAACGAAGTTTTTCGAAGTATAAGAACTTATTGGCTCCAAATCAAAGAGCGTTCGAATTCGAAAATTTAAAACAAACACTTATAGTCTAGTGCAATAAGGTTTAAAATTTTAAATATTTAATATGTTTAGAATACGTATAGATTATTAATTAATATTTATTATTTTAAAATGTAAAAAATATATTTTTTGGCAGAATTAAAATAAAACATCTACAAATTATAACGAAACGTTGTAATTTTTAGTGCAATTTTTAATATTTTAAGTGCAATTTTCGGTATTTTTTAGTGCAATACTGCAATTAATTTTAGTAGTTTTTTACTACTACAACATCCGTGCCCTAGTTATTACTTAGTAATACTAAGTAACGAGTAACGACGCACATCATTAAAATATAGTGCATAGTATAAAGAATAATATTGTTCCTTAATATACTATGTATACTATGATATAGTGTTTTAGATGTTTTAACTTTTAAATTTTAACCATTTGTTAATTGGTTATAAAATATATAAACTGCAAATAAAAAAAAGTGCGAAAATTATTTAAAATATTTATCATACTGTATTTATATATTTAAACTAAAAATATTACTTAGTAATAAAATTACTATTAAGTATAGATATTTTGTTTTATATTATATATATATATCCATGTAATTAAATCATTACACTAACCATTTATTTCAAAAATTGAAGGAATAGCATTTTTTTTTTTAGCCTAGGCTTAGTAGCAGACAGTGGAATAACTTAATCAGATGAAGAAAATGAAACATTATTATGTGTAGAACTTGAACTAAAAGAAAAAATTAATTTAACATTATTTTATCACCAAACAAATTAGAATAAACAATGGTAGGCATTAACAATTATTATAATTATTCAAATAATGTAATACCAGACAGTAACACAGTTACCTCTGTTTAAAACTAGCCTACCTACCTATTACAACTACCAAAATAATTCCTTATAATATTGTCATTAGTAATGTGGAGTTCACACAAATATTTGACAGTAGTTTGTTTGTAGTTAACTTTTGATACAATTTTGGACCATATTTCAGAAGTATCTTTATTTTTCGGCGCTTGAAATATCGAGTATTTTTTAATGTGCTTTCGACTTTTACACAGTAGCACAGAACAGTTATTAACCATTTTTAAATTTTTTACGAAGGTAATAACGATATACAAAATTTAAAACAGTATGCTTAAAGCATGTACAGTATAGAATGCTATTATAATGTGTTAAAATAAACATATTTATTATTTTTGAAATATGTATTTATAGCATGCAAATTGTGAAGGGTGCAAAAGGGTCTTTAACACTCCTTTGTTCAAATTTAGCATCCTTTATTTATTTTATACCTAATTATTATTGTTTTAGTGAAATACCATGGCTCTATAAAACATTAGCAGTTTTAACAACCCATGTTTTAGAGTTTGTTGCGCCTGTGAAGGGTCGAGAGGAGAATTTAGCATCGCATTCCCGATCAAAAAGAAAAAAAAAATTAATTAATTCAATTCATAGTATCAATGAGCAATACAATATAAGTTTTTTATTTTAGATATAATAGGTTATACAGGTTGGTATACTTTTTAGTAGGTAATCATACTCTGTTACCTATATTATAATTTTTTAGTAATTGATAAGAAAATTAATAAATTAGGTCATATTGGTATGCAATATATTGATTGAAGCGTTTTGGATTTCTATTACCTGACTCGTATCTAGTAGAGTAGGTATGGCCAGATATAGTAACCGGTAAGGTGGGGTGACCGCGATTTCACGCAGCAGTTGGAAGCCCTACATTGAGCGCTTTTAAATACCTACTTTTCTGATACCAAAGTTCGATAATTGGGTTTTTTTTTTTTGTTAACCACAATATAATAATCTTAATATTGTTGTATATGAATACAAGGCATATACTTTCGTCACATATTGTTATCTGTTCGATAGTATCATTTAAGTTTAAATTTAAAATTATTTTTATTCCCGGCAGTTAGAGCAAGTAGACGTCACTTCTCTCTTCGTGTAATACGACTTTACAACAGGAAAAAATTTTCAAATACTTATTTTTTTTTTTTACACAAAATTGTTTTGGCCTATATTATAATTTTATTCTTCATGTTATGAATTTTTGGTCTTAACATAATATGGAAAATGGAAACGGAAGATTGTTTAATCGAGTATCTTATCAAAGATCGACACAAAATTAAGATAGACTATAAGTTATTTGTCGATAATATCGATTGAAAAAGAATTATTTATAAAAAAAAAAATTTAGATTTTTATGATAAAGTTACCAATGAACTTATAGAAAAAGATAGACAAATGGATTTTATTAATAAATAGGTAAATAAATACTATACATTATAAAAAACATTTTTTATTTACCTAAATAGTTAATAACTTGCCTTTATAAGTAATAGGTTTTTTTTTGGTACTTACCCAGTTTTCAATACCATATGTTACTGGAACTTAAAGGTATTAATATTATAATGTACCTAGGGGAAAGGTTAGTGTTCACCCCCTCCCACCACCCGTATTTTTAACGAGTTCATTTTAAAAGTATTGCTTAATATTTGTATATGATGTAAGTTTTATATTAAAAACTTTTGATAGAGACCAGAGTTATTTATATGATCCATTATCAATCTATCTAGTACTATTGAATAAATAATATTGACCGTCGACCATGTCCGTGAAATTTTCTACTTTACGGCGTCTTAAAACATATTTACGCAACACAACTGGCGAAGATCGGTTAATTGGGTTAGCTCTTTTATCAATTCAAAAATAAATTAACGTTGATCCTAATGAAGCGGTGAGAATGTTCGCTTTAACGTCTCAAAGACAAAGATTCTTCTATACATTTTTTTTTATATTATCTAATATCTAACAATATGACGACAAATTACTCAAAATGTATTTTAATGTATTATAAATTATTATTATTATTTTAATATAACTATTAAATAATATGTCATATCTGACCTTGTATATTGTATAGATATTGTGTTTATATCAAATTATATCTAGTAAAACAAATACACTTGAAATGTGTGTAACTGTATAAGTAAAATTATTAAAATAGGTATTTAAAAATTTAAAATATTAAATAATAGGATAGTTAAAACTCATGTTAAGAGTTCAAATAACAGTTACTAGTATTTATAGCTTTTTTAGTTCTATATTAATGAAAAAAAAAACACTTTCATTTTTTTTTTTATTGTAAATGTATACTTAACACAATCTTACAGTTTAGAGATCTAAGCAATGTTTAAATTAAACAATATACAGTAGAACCTCGATTATCCAGAAGTAATGGTGGGGAGGGGATCACATGAAATCGATCTACAATAATTGTTATAACGAGAATAATAGTAGGGACAAATTAAAGGCGGAATAGCCCTGAAAGATAACTTTTTAAATTTTCAGAAGAGTGAGCACAGTTAATCGCAAACATGGATAATCGAGATTCCACTGTAGGAATATACGAGTATAAACAACATTATTGTTTACAATTTAGAGATTATAATTTATCACAAGTATTTTTATAAAAAATAAATATAAATATATAAACATAAATTTTATTGGTTAATTATATTAATATAATAATATTTTTTTAAATGTAATTATAAAAACAATTTTCTTTATGTAAGCCACAAGTCATGTTTCATTTTTTAATTTATTTGTATAACTTGATTAATAATATCAGATATGTGTGGTATATTGTTATTTAAATAGTCATTAAATTACCGTGAAGTACTGAAAACTTTCTGGCGCATTAGCACTTTATGATAATGACCGTAACACGTTTGAGTACAAATTAATAAACCGTTTGGGTACACTATATCTCTAAAATAAGTAATAAGTTTGGGTGCATACGTATTGATATAACGTTTACGAATATTTTTCGTCAAGCTACATACTTTTTCTGAATAACCTAATATCAGAATGACAACGAAAAACTTTAGTGTATCTTTGGTTTCTCTAAATTCGCTAAATTTATAATTCTTAATCACGAGGCACTTTGAAAATGTTTACGTCCATGATTATTATTACAATAAATAAAATATCTTTATAAAGATATTTTCGATAAGAAATCTAAATCGAAACTGAATGTTGAAACATTAAACACTTAGTTTCACAAACCCTATTTTATAAAGAAAGATAATCATTTCTGTTTTATTGTGTTTGGTGATTAGCGTATGTACCCAAATGTGTTCTACAAATACCACCCAAACGTGGCGCGCT